GTTACCGATGGATTGGCTTGAGCAGTACTGCTCGAAGCTACGACATCTTTCGGTACCGTAGTTCCCAGTTCACTTTCTGGAGTACTGAATCGTTCCGTGGCAGTTGAGGCATCCTCCTTGCCAACCTTCGTAGTAGGAGCTGTGACTTCGGAAGAACTATGTTCGTCGTCGGTGACGTCGGTAAACCCATCAGACCATTTAGGGAGTTCCGTGAGTTCTACACCGTCTACTGTAGGTGTTTCTATCCTCTTGGCCGCCGTTGTAGAACCAGTTGGACTTACATGACTTTCAGAAACCCCCTCTGCTTCTTGTAGAAGGAGTGCTCGATGATCCCACAGTGGAGCCGAATTCGTCCGAAGTGACTTCGGGGAGAGGTGAAGAAACCTCCTCGTTGTCTTCGGTTGGCTCCATTGGTGTCACAAAGTTCAACACTATTGACCTAGTTGAGCTTGGAGGGGAAGAACCGATACTAATATGAAGTCCTGCAGTTGTTGAATGCTCTGGAAGTGCTGTACTTACCTCTTCCGGACTGCCGGTTTCCCGAGTTGGTCCTTCTCGATCAAAGACACGAGGAATCTCAGTAGTCAGAGTTTCCTCTGATGGAAGTGCGGTGCTCATGCTTGTAAAAGAATCTGTGCTTTCCGTGATTTTGTGCAATGATGTGGTACTTTGTGCAGTGCTTGAAGTGCTATTTGAACTCTTTTTCTCACCATGCTTAGTCGTGGACGCCACAGTGGCTGACGTGGTGCTGGACTTTTGAGACGTCGGTGTGACTGTGGTAGTAATTGTTGTGGGAATATTAGTACGAGATCCATTAACAGTAACAGTAGGTTGAACAAGTCGAGTGCTGCTCGATGACAAATCACCAGTGGTTCGTCCAACGGTAGTGCTCTTTGTCGAAACCACCGGCGAAGTGGTGATTGATGGTGCAAAAGTCGTCTCCTTTTCACCTTCAGTAGTCTGGAACTCGAATGAAGGTTGACTCGAAGTGGATCGCGAAGTTCCCGGTGGCGCAAGGCTTGATTGCCCCACTGTCGATGCTAAATACGGTATAATTAGTGAACCAAAAATAAAAATGTGGAAGCAATGAAGCTAAAGCTAATAGAATGCGTTGGTTAATTGCACTATTTAGTTAGGCGTTAGAAAAATGTAGATTAGTGGCGTTAATATTGGCGCAACTGAGGGAAGACAAAGCGATGAGGGTGCAGGCGCTGGGTGCAGCGTGCGTTTGTGATATACCTTGACTGGTGCTGGTCGTGGTAGTCTCAGGACACGTCACTGCGGTCGTCGACGGTGTTGGTGGTGGTGCTCAACTGCTGACTGGTCCCATCGTGAGTGATTGTTGAAATCACGGTGGACGTAGGTGATATTATGTCAGAGGTAGTCTGAGACAGTGAGCCTCTTGAGGTGGCAACTGTCACCTCAGGAGTAGTGGTGGTATTTAGCAATTTCTCAGTGGTAGTACTGGAAAGAGGAGCTGGGGACGGCTGTGATGACCCCTGAGTGAGGGAGGTGCCGTCAGTGCTCAATATGGGTGCTGAAGTGATTAGAGTGCTTTGAGGAGTAGCTTCAGATGAACTAGAAACGGTTCCGCTAACACCGTCGGTCACTGCTTCTGAAGCAGCGGAACGAGTTGACCCGATAGAAGAACGATGAGGATCCTGCGTGGTTTCTGTGATTCCATCGATAAACGCCTCGGTGATGTCCGTTTGATGATTCACTGGTACCCCTGGAGATCGTCGAGGACGGCACTTGAGTAAATTCTGATGAACCGAGAGGAGTTCCGGCTCCTGGAGCACTCGTTGTGCGGAAAGTTACAGCGTTGGTGTTCCCAGCAGCTGTGAATGTCGAGCTGGGGGCAGTGGCAGTTTTTCCCAATAGCTCCTTTCGTTGGATGCTCGTG